CTGCAGGACGGCTAGCACGAACCATCCCATCAAAACAGTCCTGACAGAGGACGTGTTGTCCACATGTCAAAAACACGGCAGGACATTCATCACAGTGCGGCATCATGTGACAATATATATAACAATATATATATATATATGCATGCACGTTCACCCTGTCATCCTCTGCAACATCTTTTTTTTTTTTTTTTTTTTTTCATTCCTGTCCTATCGTTGTCGCCAAGGCTGCTCTAACCCCCGTCTCCCCCTCCCCTGCTTTTCACACACTCTCATATCTCATACTCTGCTTCTTCACCATCCTTACGTACTTCCCTCTCTCCTTGCTTCTCAGCGAGGCGCAAACGTGTCGTCTACCGTCTTCCACCGAACACAACGCACCCTCCTGATTTTGACTGCACCGGACCGGAAAGATAGCTTGTATACATTCAGTATCAGGGTGCGTTGTGTTCGGGGGAAGGCGGTAGTGAGCAGACGGGTTTATTTATGGGTATTTCCCGCTCCACCACATAAACGTGGGGGACCCTTGCGCACGATTAAAAAACGAAAAAAAGGGGGGCGAGGGGGGGAAGATTAAAAAAAAGCGAAAAAGAGGGGGAAAAAAAGTACAATCACTGCGCATTTATACCTCCGTTCTTCGTCCTATCTTTCTCGCAAATGCGTGATTAGTTCCAATTTTCTCTCACAATAAATCACCATCATCAATCCTTCCTCATTAACATCGTCATCATCAACATCATCATTGTCACTATCATCATAAACAACACACCTTCTACACAATGATTATCTAATTTTGGTCTATAAATCGTATTACAAGCAATATATATATATCGTCAAATAGAACTGCCCGGTAAACCGTAGGCAGAGAGGGAAAAGAGGACAACAAACGAGGGGCTGTGACAAACTGTTTCGTCGGAGTTTCACCGACTCATATATATCGTCAAATAGATACAGCCAGAGGAGCTCGCCCCGGGCCTCTCTTCGCACCAATCAAGAGGAGGCTGATGTCAAATGAGAAAGTACTAGTAATTTCATATTACAGTATATATTACAGTATATATTACAGTATATATTACAGTATATATCGTCAAATATATGTGAAAGAAGGTCCAGCGACGATAGCTTGGGGGATGGCACATGCATCGACCTTCTGTATTATTATATTGACAGCTCAGTGGGTGGTAGAGTGAGGTGGACCGATAGGCAAAGGGATAAGCGGAAAGCCTCCTGATGAGACCGGGGCGCACCCGGTTGAAACATGTAGAGGAATGCGTGCGCGTTTGAGCGATATACACGTATGTAAGAAACGATTTGTCATGGAATGCGTGTGAAGAGCAATTTGGCCATTGCTTACCTTTCTTCTTCTTCTGTATTATTATTATAGTTTTAACTTTTAAACCACCAGTACCCCAGGGGCTCATAGGCCACCTCCGACGCAAATGCATATGGACCCGCGCGGCGCACAGATTCAGCCTCTGCGTTATCGCCTAAAAATGCAGTAGGTACCGGTGGTTTAAAAAACAAACAGTGGACGAAAGGAAATTGTAAAGGTTAGCCAGAAGAAGAAGAGGAGGAGGAGGAGGAGGAGGAGGAAGAGGAAAGACGAAGAGGAGAGACGAAGTGATAGATAAGGAGATGACGACATAACTGCATGAAAGGCAAAGGTTCTACCCCTCTTTGCAAACGAAAAAAGTTAACATGTTGGTGATACTCTTTCCTCTCGAACGACCCCATCTAGTTCTCGAAATCAACAGCTACTTACCGAGTATTACTATATATCCCCCTCCCCTCCTCTCCTTCTCCTCCGCCCCCGCCCCCCCCTCCTCACCCCCTTCGTCTCCTCCTTCCCTTCTTCTCCTCCTCCACTCCCTCCTCCTTGCATTCTCATGCTTTTTCTTTGGCTCGTCCTCTCCCTCACACCCCATCGTTCGCCCTCTCCTTGTGTCGTCCTCCATATCCAAACCTTCACGCCACCCATTATTCGCGCCCTCCTTCGTGTTTTTGTGTTTCACAACGTATTATCACTATCTTCAGACGGGGATGTGGAGAAGATGAGGTAGGGGAGGAGGTAGGAGAGGAGAGGAGGTAGGAGAGGAGAGGAGGTAGGGGAGGAGGTAGGAGAGGAGATTGGAGAGGAGGTAGGGGAGGAGGTAGGGGAGGGAATGGAGGGAGGAATCCCTCTCATCCTACACTTTCCCTCTTCTTCGTCATCGCTCTGGTCGCTGTACCGTAACAAGATTAGCAGGTTCGTGCCTTTTACGCCACCCACTCTCGCCCTCCTTCGCCCTTCTCTTCCTGCTTCGTCCTTGTCCCTCACAAGGCATAATCGTTAGCTTCGGAGAGGCAATGTGGAGGAGATGAGGTGGAGCAGGGGGTAGGAGGGGGGGGGGAAGGGAGGGGGGAAGCTTGGGCAGCACGAGATGAAGGGGGAAGAGGGGGAATTACAGGGGGGGGGGGGGGGGGGGGGGGGGGGGGGGAGGGGGGGGGGGGGGGGGGGGGGGGGGGGGGGGGGAGAATCACGCCTCACCCTGCACTTTCCCTCTTCTTCGTCATCACCCTGCTCGCTATACCATAACAGGATTAGAGACGACAAGGGAAGAGCAGGGAACGGAACAGGAAGGAAGATGACAACGATGAGGGCAAAGACGATAAGAGCAACTAGGCAAGAGGAGGAGGAGGAGGAGGAGGCGCAAATGAGGTAGAGGGTAATGAGAAGAGCTCGTTAGGTGTGGGGGGGGGAGGGGAGGGGAGGGGAGGGGGGAGGAATCCAACAAAAAAAGAAGCGAAAAAAAGAGAAGAGGAGGATAACGAAGACATGCGGAGGAGGAGCTGACGGAGGGGAAGACGGACGCCTTACCCGCAGGATGACAGGTCCGTTGACAAAGCAAGACAAGGAACTACGACAAGAGCTGCTAGGCAGCAGGAGGAGGAGGAGGAGGAGGAAGACGAAACTAATGAGGTGGAGGGTAATGAGAAGAGCTCGCCCGGGGAGAGGGCGGGGGAGGATACAGCAAAAAAGAAGAGAGAAAAGAAAAGAAGATGAGGACAACGAGCACGTGGAGAGTAGAGCTGGTGAAGGCGAAGGTGGAGGCCTTACCCGCCTGATGACAGGACAATTGTCAAAGGAAGACGAGGACACGAGGCACGCAGGCGCAGCCTCCCGACCAGGCGGCCGAGTACCCCGTGCGGCTGACAACCCGTACGAGATGTGTGACAGCACAGCAGGCGGAGATGCACGCGCCCCCCCCCCCCCTTCCGCGCGCCAACGACCCTCCTTCCCTTATCTCAAGGGGAACCGGGCGGGGCTGACAATCAGGACTCACAAACGGCCTCCTCTCGATCAGTTTGCAATGACAATGACAATGAACCCCCCTCTTTTTTCCAATTTCTAAGGCAAAGGCCCTAGGTGCACTACTCGCCATCCGCCAAGATTCCGAACGCATCTGGACAAACAGTTGTCCATATGCAATCAAAATGTTGGCGGATGGCGAGTAGTGCGACGAGGCCCCAATTCAATTACCCGTCGAATCTGGACAGGACAGCCTTTCAGGCCCTGTTTTATTGTCATTATTATTCAGTATTACGGGGAGCCCCGTGGTAGCCACATCCGTGTTCAAGCCTCCAACGAGGGAACATGCAGGAGCCGCACCCACCAGCAGGTGCGATACCCGCTACCGGAGGAGGGCGGTACAGGCCAGGGGTCAACTGGTAGCATCAGGACCGAGATTCTTCGATGGGCCGGTCGCTGTGACTCTCCTCCGGTGACCCGTCCCCTCCCCCTACGAACATTAGCAATCTCTGCTCATTGCCGCTTCGGGGGTACCAGAGGCCCATCTCTACCTAGGTGGCGGGCGCCAAGTTTGCCCAGGGAGATACATGAGGCCAATGGGAGTTGAACTCGAGACCTCCCTCCCCCTTGAATGGCTTACGAACTGAGCTACCCCCCTCCCCCTCCAGCGGCCTATCTCTACCTAGGAAGGAGGCTGGATCAACCTCCCTCCCCCTCCAGCAGCCTATCTCTACCTAGGTAGGAGGCTGGATCAACCCCCATCCCCCTCCAGCGGCCTATCTCTACCTAGGTAGGCGGCTGGATCAACCCCCCCTCACCCTCGTTCTTAGCGCAGGTACGTGAGCCCACTGGGGATTGATCCCTAGACCTCCTGAATGCCTCTTGCATGCCTTAGCAACTGAGGTAGGGCGCTGGATCAGACCCCGCCTCCTCCCCCTCTTTCCCTTGCTAGGGTGGCCATGGGGGCAATGACAACCTTATTGACTTACCGTGAGGGCACGGGTGCGCAGCCCGTAGTTCGTTTGTTTATGTAGTTCGGGAAGGGTAAGGTAGTGATTATGCTATATGTATGTTTTGTCATGTTCGCTATATATAACTCGAAGAGAGTGCGTGTGCGGTCCCGGTTGG